TTGTTTTCACTGGTCATCCTGCCCGTATCTTTGTCCCCACATTCTGTTGTTCACACAACAGCCCAAATGCTGCTGTCACATGGGAGCCATCCCACCAGAGCAAAGCCTTCCTGCCCATAGAACCCTGACTGCCTGTCCCTCTTTTTCCTGCCCTTGGCCTCTGCTCTCCTCTTCTTGATGCTGGTGGGGGGCATTCCAGCTCACTCTACCCATGAATGACTTCCTCCCTCTCTCCCTCCATCCAGATCTCTGTTCTGTGTGAGCTTATCAGGGAGGACTTCTCTGACCTTCCCTCACAGCACAACCCCTCACCTGACCCCGCTGCCTCATTGTGTCCCACAGCACTCGCCACCACCTGTACTGTCTGTGTTTTCTTTTTTGCAGGCTCTATCCTCCACTAGGAATAACCTTATTTTTGTTCATCATGGATCCTCAGTGCCTTGACACTTCCTAAAGACCTCAATGGCTAATTATTAAATGAATGACTAGAGCTCCATTTCATGGAGAGGGCAGCTGAGAAGGGTAAGGCCTGAGTAAGAACGAGGGAAGTTAGGGACCTACCTGGGACTTGTGTGGACCCTATAGTCTTTGCCCTAGCCCCTGGAGAGGGCAGGGAGGATGGGATCCTGAAGACAGATGCAAGAAGGACCCCTCAGAGGGAGTGAACCGGGGGATGAGGGAGACCAGGCAGGCATAGCTGTGGACTCTGGCTTTTTTGAATGGAGGCTCCATAGGCTACTGGCCTGTCTCTTCTTTGAGAAGCAGATGGAAGGTTCTCCTCCTGGGAGAAGGAAGCTGGCTGAGGCATCTGCTGGACCTCTCCATCTGTCCCTGAGGCATCAATGTCACTTCAGCCTCAGAGGGGACTGGTGGTCCATCCTTTCCCATCCTACCCCCTCTTCCATTCGCCAGCACCAGCCTGGCAGACTGGGGCTGGGCAAAGCCCCCCGAGAATGGCATTTCTTCCTCGCTCTTTGGCAACACAGGATCTGCTTGGCCCTTGGGAGGAGTGGTGTCAAGACTCCTGCCTCCTGGGCCCCTGCTGGGCCTCTCTGCTCCTGGGCTGGCTAGCTCCCAGGGGGTGCTGGGAACTGAGCTCAGGGTCCTGGCTGGCCCATCCCAGGAGGGCTGCTGGCCCTTTCCTTACCCTTCATGGACCAGTCACCAATTTCATGTTGTTTTGTTTTAGTGTTTGTTTTTTTAAAATTAAATTTGTCTTCATCTCCCAGTAGGAAATGAATACATGCTCATTGTAGAAAATGTGGGGAAATGGAAATAAGCAGAAAGAGGAGACATTAAATGAGAGATTGCCTTTCTAAGGCGGCGTCCCCGGTGCTCCTTGGGCCCAGAACCTGAGGCTCTGCAGGGGCCTCGCAGGCAAACTTTCAGGAATCGCCCTCACCATGGGCTCCAGCTTGACCATGTGATGCAGAGTGCAGAACTGACGAGAGTTGCTATATTTACCACTGGTGTCTGCGTCACCAGTGACCACACAGTAGCATCGGCCCAGCGGTGCATCTGCTGGGGCGTTTCTGAAGGACGCTCTGAGAGCTCACTTTCCACAAGAGAAGGCATGGTGCAGGGGAAGGGAGAGAGCGCAACAGAAAGTGAGGTCGTAGGTAGAAAATCGCTTCTGGGATTTCAAATGGCTTCGTCATGGGGCCCTCCCTTGCTGCCGAGAAATCAGTTGATCTGGGAAAGTTCGTTGCAAACCCTTTATTCTGTTGCTTTTGGGTGGAGCTGAGAAATGAATGAAGATAATGAGGCTTTATGACTTTTATTTTTCAGTGTAGGAGTTGGGCAGCGTGTGTGGGAGGGGTGACCACGGATACAGCCAACAGTCCCAACACCAGCTGGGGCCTCTGGAAAGGCTGGATGCCTGGCCAGTGCGTCCCAGGCCAGGCATCCAGCCTAGCACAGTCAGCCTGGACTTGGCAGGGCCTGCTTAGAAGGCAATCAGCTAAAGGGAGGAATAGTTTTTTGGTTTTGTTCAAACTGACCAGCTAAATTAAGATAATAAGCAGAAGGCGCTTTCCTGTTGATAATAATGAAAAAGCTATGAGGCGATGGATTTGATAAACCCCTTCCTTGAAGCTGCTGGGTCACAAGGAAACAAAATGTGACCCTTCATCCTCCTGAGCCTTGAGCAGTTCAGAGGGCCAGCCTTGGAGAAACCCCAGCAGTGACTCGCAATGTTTTCTGACACCTCATCTGAGCAGCAAACAGAGGTGTTTGGTGCCAAGTTCACCGGAAACTCAAGTGTGTCTCACTTCTCACTTGAACCTTGGCCCCTCTTCCAGTGAAACCTCTGGGGCCTGGGGTTCCTGGGGTGCAGGGGGGCTCCCCGCCTTGGGCCCCATGACCAGCATCTCCCTCCCACTCAGCAAGCACTCTGCCCTTTCCCAACCCCCCTTCCATCCGGCATTGCTCAGAGTTTGCCTCTCCACTTGGAAGAAGTGAGACCACACACACGGTTTGAGAAACTCCCAGCAAATACCCCAGGCCTTAGTCCCCAGGTAGGGGTGCTCCCAGCCATAATAGCTGACACGAAACCTTTTTTCCTGTTTCATCTTTTTCTTTCTCTCTCATCCCTGGCCGGGCCCTCCTCCCTTTTGCCACCCACGCTGGCTTGGTACTGCGGCTCTGTGAGGTCCATCATTCCTGGAAGGACCTGAGCCCCCTAGGCTGGCTGCATGCCTCAGTGACTACAGGTTCCTCATCTGGTCTCGGGGATGGTCTCAGAGGTAGCTGAGGACGTGGTGCGCTGTGGACCCCTAGTGGTGGAGCTGTACACCCTCCTGACTATCCCCTTGGAATACATCCTTAGGGAGTCCTTGGGGCCCGTCCACACCAGTCTCAATTGCAGTCTTTGCTCTTGGAAGATTGACACAGAATTTCATCTAGAGATTTTCCATCTTTCTTCGGACAGACAGGCTGGTGCTCTCATTGGGCAGGTGATGTGGCCAAAGGTGATGTTACTAGAGAACAGATGGCTGAGTTTGAAATAAAAATACAATCCTCTGGCCTTGAAACCCTTGAGACTCTGGTTGGAGAGAGATTGCAAAACCTTGGCTTCTGCCCCCAGGCCCGACTTTCCCACCTACCTGGTAGATCACCCCTTTTCCAGATCTGCCATTGCTCAAAGATTTCTTTCTGGTGCCTACTCACAAGTCCCAGAGTGCTGGAGAAGTGCAAGCCACGTGCAGCCCGCCACAAGTGTACTGGGACTTAGCAGGTTCTGAGGCTCCCTGGCACCACAGAGACGGTCCAGTGTCTTCCCTGGACAGCCTGTGGGACACTCAGCTCCCATGCCCCCTCCCTAGATCTTCCCTCGCTTTGCCTGGGTGCAAGGGGTCCGCTCTCTTTGAATGGTTCCTGGAGCTGCCCACTATGGTCATCTACCCCCGGACAGGTCCTTTCATGGCCTCTGTTGCCTGAATCACACGCAGCATCACCTCTCACTCTTCCTGGGTGGCTGTCTCCACTGGCTTCTGAGTATGGCTGTGGATGTTCCCACCAGGCTTGAGGCTCCCCAGGGTGGGTACCTCCTGCCACTTAGTGTTTAAGACCAGTCTCTGATGACCCACCACCCTTTGCAAAGGCGTTGCATCCTTCTGGGTGCCTCTTGGAGATTGAGTGTAAACCACTCCTGATGGGCATGAGCATTAGCTGTGGTGTGCTGATGCCTGGTGCTTCTGGCACTCGTGGTACTGGCCTGGGCCAAGGGAGAAGCAAAAAACCTGTTTGGGATGGTGGTCTGCCCAGGCCCTGAGACCTTGGATCTCTACTTGTGACTCCGTAGTGCAGGGGTCATAAGTCAGTTGGTGAATCTTCATTCACAGAGGTAATGAGTGTGCAGTAATAATGAGATGTGTCCAGGGACTGACTAAACAGTCTCTAGAAAGGAATTTGTGAGGGACGTCTGGGTGGCTCAGCAGTTGTGTCTGCCTTTGGCTTGGGGCATGATCCTGGGTCTAGGGATCGAGTTCTGCATCAGGCTTCCAGAGAGGAGCCTGCTCTTCCCTCTGTCTGTGTCTCTGCCTCTCTCTCTGTGCCTTTCATGAATAAAAACATAAAACCTTTTAAAAGAAAAAGGAGGGCAGCCCGGGTGGCTCAGCGGTTTAGCGCCGCCTTGGATCCAGGGCCTGATTCTGGAGACCCGGGATCGAGTCCCACGTCAGGCTCCCCGCACGGAGCCTTCTTCTCCCTCTGCCTGTGTCTGTGCCTTCTCTCTCTCTCTCTCTCTCTCTCTCTCTCTCTCTCTCTCATGAATAAATAAATAAAATCTTTAAAAAATAATAAATAAAAAGGAATTTGTGAGCTTCCTACCAGGGGAGGTGCCCAAACAGGTTGATGTCAATGTTATATAAGTTATGGGACACCTGGGTGGCTCAGTCAGTTAAACATCCGTCTCTAATTTCTCAGCTGAGATGTTGATCTCGGAGTTATGAGTTCAAGCCCCATGTTGGGCTCTATGCTGGGCATGGAGCCTACTTAAAAAAAATACTCATCCTTTTAGGCCAGACAGCATTTGGACAAAGGAAGGCAAAGTGGCTAAGTGTGTGCGTTTTGGAGTTGGAGTGAGTTCCGGGTTCTAATCCTGGTTTTGCTCCTTACCAGGTATGTAACCTCAGGCATGCTACCTTCTCTAACCTGAGTATCAGAGAGATTCTGAGGGAGACACTGGAGGGTGTGTGGGTGGTGTCAGACACAAGCTGGCCCACCCCTGGGGGCCTGCTTACTTCCTTCATCCCAGGTCTTCTCCCTCAATCCCCCTGCACTCCTCCTTAGGCCGCCTCCTCCACCTGCCCCACTTCCCGGAGAGCTCCTCAGAGTCTTAGGAACCGAGGCCAGGGTCCCCACAGGCCAAAGTAAAAGACAGACATCATTAGGTCTCTTGTCACCATCTTTATTTCTGGCTTCCAGTTTGACAAAGTCAGTGAAAGAACACATTCAGTGACAACACCCTTCCCCCCCACCCGCCCCGGCCTGGCCACACACACCAAATGCAGCCTTTTAGGCTACTCTTCTATATATTATTAACTCTTTGATAACATATTTTATTTCTTAACTTTAAATACAAGGAAAAACAATAAATTACTGCTTGGCTGAGGGCCAGCTGCTGAGTGGCAGACAAGAGCAGCATCTCTGACCCTTTCTCCTGTCCCCTGTGTCGGCCCCAGGATCCCAGTGAGGTAGCAGAATTTTACACACAGTGCTTATTCCCAGGGATTCTCTAAACCCGAGTCACTGGGCCCCCAGCTCCAAGTCACTCCCTGTCCCCAGCACAAACAAACACACTTGTTTAAATAACACACAATAATAAATAAGGCTAAGAAGAAACGTGTCTGTGCCACTCCCAGGTACAGCAAGACCCCCTCCCACACATATCTGCCCCCACTGTAATGCTGCACTTCGCTCTGAGGAAGGGTCAGTCGTGGGATGCAGTGCTTTCCCTCAGCGTTGATGAAGTGCAGACAGAGGAGGGCCACCCGGCTGGGCCCCATGCACCAAGGCAAGGGTGGCCGGGCTCAGCTCCATGGAGGCAGGCAGTGCAGGCTGAGGTCCCAGCTGAGGAAATGGTGCTTCCTCCCCCCCCCCCCACCTCCCTAAGAAATTTGTGACGTCGGAAAGAAAAATGAATCTGGAACTTAAGAAGTCAGGTCTGGGTCTACAGATAAGGATGCTAAGATTTCATGCTTCATCTGAAATTTCCATGGCGATAAACTCCTCTTACATAGGTGAGCAGGTTTTTCACCAACTGGATCACTTCAATTTTGGTGTCTCGGCTGCGTTCACTGGAAATCTGCTGTGGGACAAAGAGATCAGCGTGCCGGTGTGACACCAGAGCAGAGAGGACCGGCGTCTGCTAGGGGCTTTCCAGGAACTGGCTTACTGAATCCTCACAAAAGCCCCCATGAGGTGGGTACTGTCATTACCCGTATTTCACAGATGTGGAAACTGAAGCTCAGGTAGGAGTCAGGAGCCCTCAAACTCAGGTCCTGGAAATCCCAAAGGGCATGTTCCTGCTGCCACAGTGGCCCCACCCCCAGGGTGGACGCTTGCCTTCCGGATGCTCAGCCAGGTTCCCTTGGAGCCCCAGGGAGCACCCAGGGCTGGCCCGAGTGGATGCAGGGTTGGGGCTACAGGACAGAGGGCCTTACCCCTGCCGCGGGCTTTTGAGAGCACAGTGCTTTCAGCATCCTCTGGGTCCTTTGGATGGCGCTGCAGTCGGAGACATTGATCAGAGATTCTAGAGCTGCGCAGTACTGCGGAGAGAACACGGGATGTCAGGCCCTGCTGGGTGCCCCCAGCTGTGTAGCTCAGGCGGCACCTTCACTGGTCTTCATGGACCTCACAGGAGGTGGGGTTTGAGAGCCCTGACGGAGGTGGCTTTGGTAGTGGCAGGGGTCCAGATTGTGAGGGCTCTGGTTTGTGGGTATCTCATGAAGCTCACTCGGCTCCTGGGGAGCCGTGTGGGTGAGGCTCAGAGAAGACAAGCACAAAACCTACAGCCTCTGCTACGTCCCTCCTTGTGGCCCCGGGGGCCTTACCATGCCGGCGGTCAGGTTGACGCTCCACACCATGCTGCCGTTGCAGAGGGATGCCTGCGGGGGCAAGACGACGGTGAGCCCAGGCCAGGTCTCCAGGGGCTCCACCCCACAGGCATCCCCAGTGTGGCACGGAGGTAGGCCTGCACCCCCCACCCCAGTGTTCCTGAGTTTCAGTTCCTGCTCCACATAGTAGGGGAGACCCATCGTACAGGGTCTTGGGGCTGAGAGAGAAACATTTGAGTGACACAGCCAGTAAGCAACAAGCCTTGTGTGAAGCTTTCTGTAGCCAGGGCAGCAAGACAGAGAACATCTGGCTGCTCAGTAGGACAGCCACAGGGAAGAGTCAGGACAGCATCGGGTGAGGGAGGAGCAGTGGCCGCCTCAGATGGGAGGCAGTGAGGGCTGGCGTACAGAACCCTGTCCTCTGAATTGGAAGTTTGAAGCATGGGCACTGGGTGTCAGCCAGGCCTGGCATGAATCTGGCTTTTGTCAACTTTAATGAAGCTTCGTCAGTCAAAGAGGGTCATTATACCTGCCTTTTGAGGTGGTTGGCAGTGGTGAAATGAGATGGAAAAGCACCCAGCACTAGGCTTGGCACACAGTCATTGCTCAGAAAGTGTGAGCCATCAGCACTGGGGACAGGAGCTGACTACCAGTGAATACTTCCATAAGAATGGATTTAACCAAAATGCTGTGAATAATGGCCCCATTATTCCATTCATATCCTGCTGGCAAATGCTAAATAGTCCCAGGGGATGTGCTGGCCCCTCTCTGCTTTCCTCTTCTTGAACGAATGTGTAGGAGCTGGCCACGGCAGGCAGGGCCAAGCCGGGGGGACAGGTAGTCCCTGGGGGCTCCACCAAACCCCTTTATGGGTCCACCCAAACTGTTGCCCCCCATCCCCCTAACCAGGCTCTTCTCCCTCATGGGGGGACCCATCCTGGTCCAAGGGGCTTCTCAAGACAGGGCCTAGCCTTCATGGCCTGAACCATGACCAACACCCTGCCTAAGAGTCACCCACTCCAGCGCCCTCAGACCTAGGACCTGCAGAAGGTACTCACCTGATTCTGGGTGATGTTGACCAGCTCCTCAATGAGCTCCTTGAGGGTTGGGGAGGGAGTCACAGGGCTCGGGGAGGCAAGGCCACCGAGGCAGGTGAGAGCAATGACCACAGTCAACCAGAGCGCCATGGAGCCCAGAGCCAATGCAGGAGGAGCGAGAGAGGAGCAGGCAGGTTGTAGGCTGGCCTAAGCTGAGTGGCTTGTGGCCTTGGCCTCTTGTGGCAGCTTTTATAGGCCAAATGATGACGCCTCCCACCCTGGTCTCCGCTTTGTCGGGTACTATCTAGAAACCACATCTTTACTCATCTTGATTTTACTTTGTGGAAAATCCAGCGTCGCATAAAGGAAAGAGTTTGATTTCTTGTGGACTTATCATTGAGAGGGGTCTGGAGCGCTTTCCAAGATATGGATGGGCTTGCTCCAGGGGTACGTAAGAGAGCCCTGAGTGCAGCCTGATGTCAGCCAAGCCAGCCGGAACTGCAGCAATTTTGATTGGTAACCACCTTCAGCGCCCAGCCCTGTCCACAGACCGTTTTGGGTCACCAGAGGCTCTCAGCAAACCGTGCTCTGACTACAGTCTGCCAGATGTGGGAATTTCGGGGTTTTATTTTTTCAATGAACCGGTCTCTAATGCTTGATTTGGATACAAACTCAAACAGGATAAAAAGGGGACGCCTGGGTGGCTCAGTGGTTGAGCGCCTGCCTTTGGCTCAGGTCCTGATCCCGGGGTCCTGGGATCAAGTCCCACATCGGGCTCCCTGCAGGGAGCCTGCCTCTCTCTCTGTGTGTCTCATGAATAAGTAAGATCTTAAAAAAAAAAAAAAGATAAAAAGAAAAGAGGGAAGTTCATTCTTTTTCATCCACCTGATTCCCTGTTGGCCCCACTGTGGGAAGGATTATAAAAAGTTTAGATTCACAGGTCTCCACAGAAAGATCCACTCAGATTCCGGGATCCTTCTGGGACCTTCTCTCTTTAAAGTGGCTTTGATGATAACTTTGAGCATAGGCAGTGTAAACACTGAGTGCCCAACTCAGGCTTTTTCAGCCTGGGCCCATCCGATGGGAAACCCTTAATGGGCCAGGTTGGCAGGAAGTGGGACCCAGCCTTAGCCCAGGTAGGAAAATGTAAGTGTTCCCACCAGTATCTGTGGGACAAAGCCTTCCCCGCCGGGGGACCCAGGTTTGTGCAGACTGAAGGCTGTGGAGGGAAGCTGCTGGGCCTGCCCTGGTTCAGGGACCCCACTGAGCAGCCCACCCCTGCAGAGACACTGGCATACAGCCACTTTCCTGCTTCTCCCTCCCTTCTCTGGAAGTCCTCCAGAAACCCCTGCAACAGAGACCGCATCATTTGCCTGTTGAGTACTGATGTCAGGCTGTCTCCCTCAGCCACTTCCTCCCCTAAACCAGTGTCTACCCCTCCAGGCCCCTTCTCTGCTTGCTCAGGCTCCCTTTGTCCTACTCTCGGTGAGGCTCCCCAGTGATGCTCCCCAGTGATGCTCCCGCTCCTGCTGCGAGGCTGCCCACCTTGCCCACCTTCTCTGCTCGCCAGACCCCAAGCTCCCAGGCAGCTGTAGGCCCTGACGCCCCGAAGCCAGCCCCTGCCCCTGCCGGCCCCCTCCTCCAGTGCCTGGTGTGCTGTCCCTTGGCTGTACGACAGACAGACACGTGTGGGTGTGGGCTGTGGGCCCGGTTCCTCCTCTGTGGCGGGAGGCTCTGTGTTGAGGGAAGGAGCGGGGCACCGCCGTGGGATGTAGATGTCCCGGGCTCTGCGCCCACTTGAGCCGAGGCCTCAAGGCCCAGGACCGGCGCACCCGAGGCGGGCGGTGGGCAGGCGCGCTGGCCGGGCGGTGGCCGCGATGCCCCGCGGAGATAGGGGCCGGGCCTTATGTAACGGCAGATGGGGCTGATAAGCGGGATCCGCGGCCTCCTCCGCCCCGACGGCGACGGCGGGCCGACGGGGTGAGCGCAGAGCCCACCCGCGGAGCCGCCACGCGCCGCCGCCGCTGCCCCCGCCCCCGCCCCCGCCGCGCGCAGGTCCGGGCGGGCCCCTGCCCCGGGGTCCAGCGCCCCACGCGCGGCGCGCACCGGCCCCGCACCCGCCCGCACCGCCCGCACCGCCCGCGCCGGGCCCAGCCCTGGCCAAGGGCAGCGGGGCCGCGCCGTCCGACCGGGGCGCGGGGGCCCATCCCGGGCTTCAACCCCGAGACGAGCCCCGCGGGCTCCGTCCTGCGTCTCTCTTGGTGTTTCTTGACTTCGGGGCGGCTCCATTCACACCCCGGGCAACCGTGTCAACGCGCACTACGGACGGGCTGCTCCGGCCCCGCGCACGCGTCTGTCCCCCCGGGCGTGGGCGCGGGTCCCCGCGGCGGGCGGCTCGGGCCGGAGGCGGGGCCCCGCGAGCGCAGCCGGCGGCGCCTCCACCCGCCCGCGGAGCTTCTTTCCCCAGTTGCCTCCCACGCTGTTTCTCCGCGGGAGAGAAGAGATCCCCAGTCGCTGGGAGTACGGGGTAAAGCGAGTAGGCGAGTTTTAATAATCTAACATATCTCACCTAGAGATTTTTATTTTTATGAAGGTTCTATGTGTGTGTAATTTAAAATGATCAGAGAGGTTGATTCTAAAAAACGAGTTTGGGGTATGAGTTCCCCGTGGGGCCTTTGCACTTCTGCAGGACTTGTGAGCGAGGCGCTAAGGGGTCCTTTGTCCCTCAGTATCTTTTGAAAGATGTTTGCACAACGAACAGCCTTGGACACAGGGCGTCTTCCTCACCCGCAAATGGCAGGCCGACCTCCTAGCCATCCTGGGACTTCGCTTCCCTAAGCTCAGGCTTGTTTTTCCGCAGCGCAACCCCCTGGGTCCTAGGGGCCATGGCTTCCGTGGCACCACGCTGAGAGAAGTGGGGGTTCAGAGTGCAAAAGAGCGCTTCTGTCTCTGTTCTCAGGGCCTTGTGTCTTCTGCAGCACCCATGAACTTGTTAGCTTGTTACCATGCAAGTTAGATAAAATCTCAGAGCCTCCAGTTGTTGACAGGCCAGCCATCCCCCTCCCCTACCTACCCCATTAGCCTCTTCTCCAGAGGAACCATGATTTGAACTGTTCCTTTTGGTATTTACCTCCTCCTTTCTAAATTTGATCTTTCAGGTGTAGGCATTTCCTGTGGTCTATGATGAATGTTTAATTCTCTTTCCTCCTTGCTGTTGTTCTTCCATTTGCTTCCTTCCCCTTTTCTCATCCCATTAGTACAGATCACAATTTGGGTCAGTCAGAAGGCATGTTCACCATTTGCATAATAATACCAATATAGGGATCCCTGGGTGGCTCAACCATTGAGCATCTTGCCTTTGGCTCCGGGTGTGATCCTGGAGACAGGGGATCAGGTCCCACGTCAGGCTCCCTGCATGGAGCCTGCTTCTCCCTCTGCCTGTGTCTCTGCTTCTCTCTCTCTCTGTCTCTCATGAATAAATAAATACAATCTTTAAAAAATAATAATACCAATATATCCAAAGCTGGAACAAGTAGTTTACCGCGATTACTTTTATTTCCCCCTCAAAGCTTCTTTCCTCTGGTGTCAAGAATAGGTTTTTCTATTTGCTTCGTTTTCTCTGTTCCTCTGTGATTTGACCTTAAATTCCTGGCCACTTAGATAACTCTCTTCTCAGCATATTTGGGTAAATGAGTTATTCTCACAATCTCATCTTCCCTAGAAAGTCGCCCCGGAGCCTGCCGACCTGCCCTGACTGACTGGACAGCGCCCTCTGACAACCTGTGAAGGCTGTCATCCTGAGGTCTGCTGTCACCCCTGCCCTGGGACTTCACTTCACCCCTCTCCTGTGCAACCCTCTGACTTTGCATGCCAGGTCTTCCTCTTTCTTGGGGAAACACATCCTAACAAACACAGAATTTCAGGCAGGAAATAATTTTCTTTCAGAAGTTTTAATGCCTTTGCTTTTGCATCCTGTCTCCCAATACTGCTGTTCAGAAATCTTCAAGCATTTGAATGCATATCTTTCTAACTGTCTCTCTGGAAATTTGTAGGACATTTTCTGGGCTCCCACGCTCCAAATGTTACAGTGATATACTTCAGGGTCTTTTTTTTTTTTTTTGTTAAGATTTTATTTATTCATTTGAGACAGATACAGAGAGAACGAGTATGAGCAGGGGGAGAGCCTGAGGGAGAAGAAGCAGATGGCCCACTGAGCAGGGAGCCTGATGCAGAACTTGATCCCAGGACCCAGAGATCCCGACCTGGGCTGAAGGCAGACAGTTAACCATCTGAGCCACCCAGGTGCCCCAGGGTAGATTTGTTTTCATCTATCATGTCAGATGCACAGTGGGCTCTTTTAAACTGAAAACATGTCATTAAGTTTGGGCCAATTTTCTTTCCTGAGAAAAAATTAAAACCTCTATTATCTTATTTTATTTTAAAATATTTATGTAAAGTCATTGTTTTTAAAAAAATTTTTTTTTTTTAGGGACGCCTAGGTGGCTCAGAGGTTGAGTGCCTTTGGCTCAGGGCGTGATCCTGGTCTGGAGATCAAATTCCGCATCAGGCTCCCTGCGAGGAGCCTACTTCTCCCTCTATCTCTCTGCCTCTCTCTGTGTGTCTCTCGTGAATAAATAAATAAATAAATAATAAATCTTTAAAAAATATTTTTATTAGATTCACAGGAAAATTGAGCAGAAAGCCCAGAGTTACCATATACCCCTGGCTCCTCACATACACAGCCTCCCCAATTTACCATATTCTCTGCCAAAGTGGTACATTTGTTACTTCTGATAAGTCTCCAATGACACATCATTATCACCCATAATCCATAGTTTACTTCAGGGTTGACTCTTGGTGATGTACATCCTGTAATGGCGTGTATCCACTGTTATAATATCATATGGAGTAGTTTCATTGCCTTCAAAATTCTCTGTGCTCCACCTTTCCATCCTTCCTTCCCTCCCAACCCCTGGCACCACTCATCTTTTTACTGTTTCCATAGTCTTGCCTTTCCAAAATGTCATATAGTTGGAAGCATACAATGGTTAGCCTTTTCAGATTGGCTTCTTACCTTCAGTAATATGTATTTAAGTTCCTTCATGTCTGTTCTTGGCTTGATGACTCACTTCTTTTTAGTGCTGAATAATATTCTGTTATCTGGATGTATCAAGTTCATTGACCCATTCACCTAC